CGGGCAGCGCGCTCCGTGTTTGCAGACCGCCCTGGCGGACTCGTTTACACTTCCAAGCTCAAGCCAGGCGCCGCAGGCCATAAAGAGGAGCGCAGATTAAGATGGCGCCGCAGGCTCCCCGGGCCGTCCGCGCACAGAACCTTTGTCTAGAAACAAAACAAAAAATCGATGAGACACCACGGGCTGGGGGGGCTCCGATCTCCATCTCTCCAGTACTCTCCAATCTCCAGCGTCGCTACATCTTGGGCCGGATCCAGTCAGATCTCCGATCTCCATCTTCAATCTCCAATCTCCAACGTCGTCATCTTAGGCCGGATTCGGTCAGATCTCCGATCTCCATCTCCAATCTCCAATCTCCAATCTCGATTCGGGGGCCCGGGGGAGGGCTCAAACCTTCAAGGAGATGCGCTATGGATACATTCACAATGCAAAAGGATCTCCTCCCCCTTTTCGCGCCATTTTGCAATCTCCAGTCGGCCCACACGATCTCTAGGCGCCTTTGGCGCGAAGTCAGAATCTCTCCACCTCTGTCGCACAAGATCACAAAAGCGACTCTCTGCACGCACCAACTCGACATTCTCAGTACTCAGACTCCCTCTCGAGCATCTACACTGGAGAGAGGATTTGCCTCAACCAGTTCGTCTTTCAATCTACTGCTTCTCTTGGCAGGAGATTTGCCACTTAAGAGATCTCTAAAAGGCATCTACGATCTACAGTCCAGGGATCTTCCGATGAGCGATGTCTTGCTCTCGCGTGGTGTTGTTGGATGTTGCGGCGTAGAGATTTCCATGTATGACCCAAAGGTCCAAGGTGCAAGGACGAAGGAGTGCGGAGTGCGGAGAGGCTCCCGGCCGAACTTTCTCGTTTGGGGGGTTTGCACCCGTCCCCATCATATGGCTCTCTCCCTCTCGCGGTGCACACTCACACTCACGGCTTGCGACCCTTCCGCCTCCGCTGCTTGTTCATCGCCGCTGCGTCCCCGTCGAACTTCTTCTTGCCGCCCGCCTCGGGAGCTTGGCTTGCCCGGTCGGGCACCACAAACTCGTAGGTGAGCGCTCCCGCCCCCGCCGCGTGCCCCCCGCTATACCCTGGAAACACCGCGGGCGAAAACGGGACCGCCGACTTGACGCGCAGGCCGCAGAGGCGAGCCAGCATCGGCACTCCCCACCCGTCAAACGGAGCGCCCCGGGGCAGCGCAATGTGGAGCTCGCCGCCAGGGACGAGCAAGCCTCCGGCGGCAGCGTTGGAGCAGACCGCCCGTACCAGTGCCTGGTTGGCCTGCGTCGCCGCCTGCAGGTCGCGTCCGCTGCCTGCGCCGGACGCCAAAGGGAAGTTGAAAACGACGCGGTCAAACCGGCGCTTGACTGCGAGAGGGGCGCTGGTGCAAAGCGACGTCGCGTCGATGCCAAAAAGGACCCTTCCGCCGCCGGCGCGAATCATCTCGACATTGTCGGCCGCCTCACCCTCCGCAAGCACCGACGCCTCAGACTCGAGTGTTGTCGCCACCAGCTGCTCACACTGGCCGCCCCACAGCGTCGCCAACGCCGCGCCAAAGCTGAAGTCGCCTTCGCCGAGGAGCAGCACGCGCCGCGAGCTATCCTTGGCGTAGGGATTGTGCGGCCGCCGCGAGGGCTCGGACGATGCCGGCCGAGGGTTGGCTGAGCGGCCGCCGCCGCCGCCTCGTGGCGCGGCGGGCGCGAGCTTGTGGCTGCCGACTTTTTGCACACGCATCATCTTGCCGTGCTGCGCGATCTTCGCCTTTTTGCGCGCCTGTCCTCTATTGTCCCTCACCTTGACCTTGGCCATGACAAAGAGAGACCCTGACGGCCTCGCCTCGCGGCAAACAAAGAATTTTAACAAAGAAAGAAAGCACTATAAAATCTGGGTAAACGAAAGTAGCGTATACGCTACTATGAAAGAAGAAGCCGAAAAAACACGCCGGAGTCAGTCCGCCCGAGCCAGCCAGCTGCCGGCTCGCACGGCAGCCTCTTCCTCTCGACCAGCCTCAACTTCCGTACAGTCAGCATTTTGTCGCTGCGTGCTCGTGGCCAGCTGTGGCGGCGGTCGAAGTTCGCCCAGATTCGGTGACGAGCGCCAGACGATAGTAGTGTCTCTGTTCGCCCTGTGCATGTCAGGCCAGGCTGCAGCAGGGCACTACCATCGTGCTGCCCTGTTGCAGCCTGACTTTGCCCACTGTGCACAGTCGCCAGAGCACCACCACCGCCCGGCATCGTGTCACGGCGAGCTCCTTCTGCGCCCGCTCGCGAGGCTCTCGCGCTGGCACACTTTGGCCATCTGCTGCTCGCGTTCGGCGAGCTCATCTCCGCACTCCTGCCACGGTGCCGTCACCACACACCTTCTGGCCGGCCTGAGCCGCGCGGGGTCGCCAGCGGGGGCAACGCGTCGACCTCTCTCTCTGGTGCACCACGGGCCGCAACGGCCTGCTAGCCGCGTGCGCGAGGAGGCAGTGTGCCGGCACAGTCGAGCCGGAGCATCGGGTTCTGGATGCTTGTGGGTCAAGTCTGACCTTATGCGGCCTAATATGCAATAATAATGCTGGCTCTCACCCAGTCTGTTGAGATATTATCCCTCAAAGTCGAATTTTCGTTTACTGGTGACCATAGTAGTGTCTGTCTTGTTTGCGAGATCTTCAAACGAATCCCTTAAAGTCTCGACAATCACTAAGCTGCTTATGTGGCACCGCAGAGGCTCCCTTGGGGATGCCTGAGGCCACCCCAACCACACACTAAGCCGTACGTAGACGAATTGGGCGCTACTTTTTTCGTTTACCCACATTATGCGAGTAGGGCTCTCTTGCCCGCAACCCGACACCGATCATCCGGCCCGCTGGGTGCGCTTCTCAGCTCCTCGGCCCTGGATGTTGAGGTTAATAACTGCACTCCAAGTGCTCCAAGTCTCGACGTCTAACCGCGGGTGCGGGCGCGAGTCCTCGACCGAAGCGGATGACCATCGGAAGGCGAACAAGAGGAAGAACTCAGAGGGGAGGGGAGCCTCCTGTACGGGGCTGGGGAAGTACGTTCTTAGGGAAAATTAGGGAACGCTTGACGCTCGCGCGTCGCCGACGCGCACTGATGGACCGCTTGTCCCGTGTAGAGGCGTTGAAGGCGCTCCGACTGTCGCGCTCGGATTTTTGAGATCACGTCCCAGTCGCTCACAATCGCACCGAACGTCCACCACTGTAGTGGCCAGGCCAGCTCCCACGCTCACCGCCGCTCTTCATGCTCCAGACACATCCTTTCAGATGGCTTTGCAGGGCGGCCTCTCCCGGCCGCTCCTGATGGCCTGAGCGTCAAGTCGCGGGAACGCGCCCGCCGAGGGTAGGATTGCCAAACTCAACAGATTGCAGGTGCCGCATGTGGTTGCCTCTCGCCTCGCCCCTCGCCCAGCGCGACGCAGCGCGAGATGAGAGCTGCCCCCGCGCGTGCGCTCTCGCCTCGCCCCACAACCACCACTGCAGCGAGCCCATGCCCGGCTGCACGCCGTGCTGCGACCGCCGCCGAGGATCGAGCGCCGCGAATCTGGCACAATCGGATTGGATTGCCGGTCGTAGCGCTGCTCAGCGCGCGGCCGCGGGTCGCCTCCATGCCTACTGCGCCCTCGCGACTCCCAAAACGAGCCCGCGCCATGCTCATCCCATCTTATGCTGCTGACGCTCGCCGCCTGCGCCCTCGCAGATCCGAATAAACAACGTGGGCGAGACGGGCGTGCCGCGGTGTTTTTGGTGCTGGGCCTCAAGTCGTGTGCGCTGCGAGTAGGTGCGGCCCTCTTGAGCCCCCCTTCCTTCCCCACCTCAAAGATGCTCTCAAAGCAGAGAGAAGCAGCACTGGTGGCCTCTCCTCCGCCCCCTTCCCCTGTGAATATCACACACCCGCCGTCCACCGCCCCCCCATCATAGGTACGAGTGAACTCGATCAACATCATGTCAGAGAAGAAGGTCTGCATCATGCCAACGATGGCCCCCGCCAGTGGGGTCACCGAAGACGCGCCGGCTCTCGAGCCGGTCACCGCCGGCGGCGCCCCGCTGCTGCCGTCGATCAAGGAGTTTCCGGAGGAGGAGCGGCGTCTGCCGACCCACTCCCTGACCCCGTCCCGCGTTCGATGCGTATAGGGCGACGCCGACCTCCGCGTCGGCAAGTTCTGCTCGACCAAGCTGCTGTGCGGCTTCCTCACCGTGGTGGTCATACTCGGCTGCTCGGCCGTTGTTCTGTCTTCGTACGGCTCTGGCGGCGTCTCCGAGTCCCTCGAGTCGGTGTTCGTGCCCGACGCGGCCGCGGTCGACCCGATGCCCGAGCCCAACTCGGGGCTACTCTTCGCCTCGCCCGATCGCCACCCAACCTTCGCGCCTCGCCCGACCCCGCCCATTCCCAACCCGGTTGACGACCCAAACTGGCTCGTCGCCGCCTCGGGCTTCGTCACATGGCCGCAATGTCCGGTGCAAACAAATTGCGGAGACCGCATCGTATCGAACTCATTCGCTCCGACGTGCGAACGAAACGACCAAGAGTGCGGCACGAGCTGGGGCTTCGGGTGGGCGGGTTGCGACAACTGCAACGCAGGCCTTGGGTGCTGCTCTGGGCATTCTGTGGGGTGCGGAGCTTTTCAACGTCCCAGATGCCGCGACAGAAACCAGGGTCACTACCCGTGCTATTGCGGCACTACCCTGATGCTCTCCAGCGGACGGCATGCGGTAACGAAAATGTGTCAGTTCGACGAGAACAGATACTGGTTCCGACGGGCCCCTGACGATGGCAGCTTTCGCCTTTGCGGGGAGCTGACGGGCCACGGCGACTATTGGAGTGCGTGCCACGCGTCACCTCACTGCAACCCAGGCGGGTTGTCACCGCATTGCCCAGTGTGGTCTCCCACTTTGCAGGCCGAAAACGGGTGTCCTCGCTAGGAACAAGTGCCGGGACGTCTGAGGAAAAGTCCAGCGCGGCCGGCCCATCCGCCGCCGCCGCGGCCAAGGGCTTCTCCGCCTTGCAAAACACGAATCGATAGCGAACGACCCTGGTGAGCCAAACCCTAGATGAAAGTCCGGCACACGCGCAGGTAAACGAGTGCGCGGCCCCAGGCACGGGTACGGTAAGCGACGTCTTCATTTGGAGCGATCCTGCATGAACATGAGCATGAACACGCCTTCTGTTTTGAGAGTTTTGATCATTTGTCCTTTCTCTGGTTTGCGGCGTTTTGAATGCTTTACTTTTCGCGAATTATTTTTTCTCGATCGGGGACGACTGGGGGGCCCGCGCTGCAAGCAGCAGCGCCGGGCAATGACGGCTTACCGCCCACCCAGCCCCCCCTCGGCACACCCCGGCAGCCAATGTGTGACGGCTCCCGCTAAGCCACATCCCGCAAGCGGGATGGCCCGCCACTCGAGCCCGCAAGCGGGTAGATGCCCTACTCCTCCTCCTCCTCCTCCCCCCCCCCCTCCTCCTCCTCCTCACTCGCCGCACCCTCGTCGTACCAGCGAGGGCCGAGGGGGCCCGTCGCCGGTGCCAAAAAAGAAATCCCGGTTGCCTATCTCGCTCAAGGAGAATCTCGGCATCACTGGCCGCCGTGCGTGGCGGTGCTACAATGTGGGCCCTCGGCCACCCACTGCTGCCGTTGGACAAAAGGAGCAGAATCACCATTCGGACGGCTTGACGCGAGAGCTCGTGTGGTGGCCAGAGGCGAGCGCTAGGGCGAGCGGCGGCGGCGAGCATCTAGGGTACCCAGGCTCCGGGCCGGTGTGCGGGGAGCGAACCTTGACGACCGCCCAGAAGCTTTCTGAGCGAACCAATTGGGCCAGGATCATCAGCATATGTCCCCTCCACAACATTGTGGGCGTTTGAGCGGTATTTGAGGAGCACCGCCACTCTGAAGTTCGGCCGGGTGGTCTGCAGACCCCCCCCCCCCCGGAGCAGCAGAGGCTCCGTGGGGTCGAAAAGTCGACGCTGGGAGTCGCACTCGTCGAACCATCGCAGCACCACGCGGTCCGCACGTACCGACCACATCCCCTCCACCGCTGAGACGGCGCATATCGACCGCCGGGCCGCGTAGTCGTCGTTAAGGAGCGGTTTTCGGAGCCGTACGAACAGAGGTCCCAGACGCGAGACGGGCGAACATGCGGTTTTTCGATGACCACGCGACGCGCGATGAGGTATCTGCTTTTTGCTAAAAATGGGCCGCCTAGTGCAGCTTCACTAGTAAAACACGCGACCACACTGAGAGCTCCACACTAGCCGGTATGGGCGAGCCCCGGCGGCCTCACCGTCGCCGCTCGCGGCGGAGCCGACGGCGGAGCCACGGGCCGGTGCGACCTTTTGAGGGGCCATGAGCTCGCCGGGACGTCGCCGATGGCTCGGCGCGCCTCTTCCCGCCAGCGCGGGACGACCTACCTACAGGAGGGAGGGGGGGGGAGGCGGAAATGAGCGCAAGTCCCGTGATCCCGTCGCCGGCAAAGGCTGGGAGAGGGGCGGCAAGCGACGGGCGGGTCCGCGACCTTTTGAGCGCCCATGAGCTCGCCGGGAGGCCGCCGATGGCTCTGCGTGCTTACCATACCGACCGTCGGCACCCCGGGCCGCCTCCGCCGTCTCCTCCTCGCCCTCCTCCTCGCTCGCCTCGCCCGCCGCCTCTCCCAGCGCCTCCGCCAATCCCTCGACCAACGTCTCTGGCGTGATGCCGAACCGGATCCTGTCCTCGTGGAGCTCCGCGAGAAGCTTGAGCAGCCCCTCCCTGTCCAACGGCGCGGGCTTGGCTGCCGCTGCCTCTGCCGGCGAATCGGACTCCTGCGACGGCCCAGCGCC